GCTCCCTCACCTTCTCCAGGGTGTTGGGCGGGCACAGGGAGACCAGCACATGGGCCCCGTGCTGCCACACCAGCTCCCAGAGCTCTTCTGGCCCTGCGGGGCCAGTCGGCACCACGTGATCATGGCCAGAAGGCCCACCCTGCAGAGCACAGCTTGTCGGCCACCCAGGGACTGAGGGAATCTCCTGCCCAGCCCACAGCTCTAGGAGTCCCCAGCAGCCCCAGCCTGGGAAGCACAGATGATCAGAGAGGGCAAGCAACAGGGCAGCAAGACCAGCATCATCTCACAGGGAAGAGCCAGGCTTCAGGCATGTCGTCAGGGGGCTCTCCTCCACTGGCGAAAACTGCACCTGAGAACGGTCATCTGAGGAAGATGGCGAGGGTGAGCCTGCCAGAGGCCCCACCCACACATGCCGTGCCCCTCTGCCCCACACGTGGTCCACAGTGAGACTCACAGGGGACTGCACTGTCCGGCTCATAGCCAGGAGGGGGTGCCGACGAGCCAGCCCCGTCCTCGATGGCCTGCCTCAGGAGCTGGAAGGAAGGCGATGGACGCCCTGAGGCTGGCAGAGCCCCCAGGGGGCCGACTGGGTTGCCCTGAGTCGTCACCCAACCCCAGGCCGGAAGCTAACCTCATACTCCTTCAAGAAGCCAGCGTTGGCGTCGGCCGCCCTCTTGGCGCACGCCTGCGTGAAGTCCCTCAGGGAGACTGGCGGGGACCTGGGAGCGGGCGGCGACGGGGAAGGCACCGAGGTCCCCAGCTCCTTCCTCACTTCCAGCCTGCTGTGCTCTGCCCGTGGACAGGAGCCCGGGAGCCCATCGGTGGGGAGGACAGGGGAGCTGAGACTTACTCAGAGGTGTCAGTGAGCTCTTCCAGAATCTTGTTCAGGAGGCAGCTGTGCAGGAAGATGTACTGGCTCTGGCAGGGGATGGGGCACAGTCAGCTAAGCCAGCATGGCCCAGCAGGGAGACTGTCCAGGCCCAGGCCTGAAGGCAGACATGGGGCAGGACAGAGGAGGGAGCCATTGGGGAACCTTTCCTACCCTGTTCCAAAGTGTCAGAGCCACTCACCTTTTACAGAAAGGGAAGCTGAAGCCCAGAAAGAAGGGTGGCAGGTTTGGGCTCCTCCCCCCAGGGCTCTCTGTGGCCTCATGAGTTCCTTTCCTGGGTCCTCCAGAGCCTGCAGCCAGGGCCATCCGCCTTCCTCCCATGCCTTCAGGGGCCCGGCTGCCCAGCCCCGCCTGCCAAGGCCCTCACCCGCATCTGGATCATGAGGGGCCAGTGCAGCCGGAGTGCATACACAGTGTGGAACACATCTACTCTCTGCTCCTCCTCCAGCTGCTGCAGCAGCCTCGAGAGGGCCACGAAGGTGCCCGTCGGCCCACGCCCGCACTGCAGGGACAGCCCTGGGGAGCTGAACGGCTGAAGGGGCTACCCGTGTGCCCAGCTCTCCCCCCCGCCCCGGTTCCGGAGACCCCACCCCCACTCCCAGGCCAGGCAGAAGACCCTCCACTGCACCACCACCCGCCTGCCCTCACCTGCAGTGCACCAGGATGGGCCCAGGGCCCTGGGTGGCCCTCGCCTGCTCCTGTACCAGTTCCACGAAGGTGAGCAGGGAGCTGGGCGCCTCAGGGATGCTGTGGTGGGGCCAAGTGGCAAACTGCAACTGCTTCACGCTCCTCTGCTGTTGATGAACAGCCTGGGGGAGAGGGCGTGAGGGAGGAGAGGGGACAAAGGGGCCCCCCCGCTGCTTCCCATCTTCCTTACTCCAGGCTCCCTCAGCCCTGCCCTCACACTTTCCTCACCCACTCCCTGAGGGCAGGGCTGGTGCCACCCCCCTCAGACTGGGTGTTCCTCGAGGGTGGCAGCTATGTCTCTGCCCTCAGTCTGGATGCTTCCTGAGCCCTTGGGCCCTTCTCTGGCCTCCTGGGTAATCTCTGCCTGTAGAGGATGCCCAGGGAGAGGGGTGATTCAGGTCCCTGACTTTCCTGTTCAAGAGGGCACAGTCCAGGGACACAAGGGTTTGGAGTGAAGTAGGGAGCCCTGGGCTGAGTGTGGGGGAGAGCAGCAACCATCGCTTCCCGCTCTGCGCTTCCTTTACCTCACTGTGTGACCTCGGATAGACCCTTCACCTTCTCTGTGCCTCTCTACCCCTTCCCTAACTACCACTTCCCTGGGTGGTGGCTGAGAGCCTGTGCTCCTCAGGAGAAGGGGACCCTCAGGGCCCAGGTGGTGAGACAGCCGTCTCAGGGCTCTCAACTCTACTGGCCTCCCCCCCTGCCCCCCCCTGCCCTTTCCCCCGGGGCACGCACGTGCTGCAGCTGGAATTCCCTCTCAGTCCTCTCCTCCTCAGCCTCCTCAGCCAGGAGGTGGATGGTGATGAGACCATGGGTGACCGGGGTGGAGTCTGCCGGCCAGTAATGCTCACACAGCACCTGGGCAGAGGGTTGGAGAGGTGAGGGGCCCTTCACTGCTACCCACTGCTTCCCCCAGGCCCAGCCCTCCTCACCCACCTCCCTGGTCCCAGCCACCCTGCTGAGATTCTGCTCCCTGTATTGACCCAGCTTCAAGGACACCAGCTCTGGAAGCCTGTCTCCACTGGCTGGGCTCCAGCTCCTTCACCTCCAGATCTTCCTTTGACTCTCGGGACTTGAGTCAGCTCCTAGGCTGCTTTGCCAAACGGAATGACCCTTATTCAGCGGCCACCAACCCTCGCCTCCCTGCTCCAGCAGGACAGACTCGGAGTCTCAGGAGTCTTTCTCTCTGTGTCCCAGGGCCCTGCGTGCACCAGGCTTGCCAAAAGAAGGGATGCAGAACACCCTACCTTTGGTGGGTGGGGTCCTCACCCCTCGCCTTCCCTCCCCAGCCTGGGTGATCCCGCGGACCCCCGCCACCCTCCAGGCCCGACGGGCCTCACTCCCGCCGGCCCCGCCGGCCCTGCCGGAAGACACCCGCAGGGCCGGTTCTGCGAGGAGAACGTGCGCCACCTGGCGGCGCTTCTAGGAACCTGCAAGGCGCGCGCACCCTCCCGTTCTCCATGCCCACGGTGAGCATCACGATGACGTGGACCTGCTGCCCCCCCACCAGCCGCCAGAAGTCCTCCAGCGTTTTCTGGAGAGGCCCCGGGGTGGCGATGAACTCCTGCGCGTGGGTGTAGCCCTGGGACGTGGGCGACGGAGGTCAGGAGCATGTCAACAGGTGACATTTGGTCCACGGGGCCCCATCAAGCACATAGTCGTAGACATCCCACGTGTGACCTCCGGGAGTGAGATGCTGTGTACGTGCTTACGCATGGGCAAACGCACAAACGCATGGGCACACCCGGAACTCGCACCAGGAGGGGGTGACTTCAGAGGCACCCTCACCACCCCACCCGTGCCACACCAAAAAGGGCAAGAAAAACCTCCATGAAAACAAGATAGTGACATGCCAAAAATAGTCTGCCCGGGCCACCCTCTTCACCAACCCGGAACGACCTTCCTAAAACCAGACTCTGTGTTTCTCCCATGCTCAACAATCTCCTATGGTTCCCCATTGCTCACTGGAGTGGGCAAAGCCCTCGGCCTCACAATCAAGACCCTCCTTTCTCCAGCCCCAGGCTTTCTCTCCCATCTCATCTCCCACCACCTGACACCCCATCCCCCTCCACACACAGACACACACACACACATTGCCTGTATGTTACTGCCTGCTTGTTCTCTGGCGGCTCCTTTCAGTTAAAATGTCCTTTCCTCTTGTATCACTGATCACAATTCTACTCATCCTTCAATAAATCAAATGTCCCCTCCTCTGGAAGCCTTTCTTGATTCCTCAGGCGGACCAAATTTCTCCTTTCTCCATGTGCCCTGAGCAAGGTGCTCGTTCCTTTGTTACAACACTTGTCAACATCGTATGGCGGGCGTTAAACACATTGCCCCAAGTGCTCCTTTGAAGTGCTCCCCTGTCCTGCAGGCCCAGCACAGAGCACACAGTAGACCCTCAATAAATAGCTGCTGGATTGACCTGATAGAACACAGCCTGGTGATCTTCCTGGACAACTGCCACAGCTAAGGCAGGACCGTGCATCCTGAAAGTCAGCCCGTCTCCCGAGCAGATCCCAGATCCCACAGACAGCCCCTCAGGCGGCCCTTACTGGAATGAAGTTGGCGTTGATACAGTCGGAGTGGGGCTCCCCCTCCAGCTGGGTCAGCCTGACCCCGGAGTGGTCATCTGTAGAGGGTAGAAGCTGCACCTTCAGAGTGGGATGCAGGCAGCCCCTCTCCATGCCAAGCCCTGACACCTGCCATGCCCCCTCTTCCGCCCCAGCACTCACAGGGCAGCACATGTGGGCAGCGGTTCTTGGTAGTGTTGGCGGGGTGTTCGGCCTCCAGTCTGGGCTGCTCCTGGCCCACCTCCTTCAGCTCCTGCAGAGATCAGGGCAGGGGCTGGTTGCGGAAGTAGACCCGCCACCTGCACCGGGAGAGAGACCGGGTGGTGAGTATACAGCTGGGAGCTCCCCAAGACCTTCAGTAGGTCTCAGTCCTCCCCCCTGAGAGTCTGAGAGCCGCCCAGGCCTCACCTCAAACTCCAGAAAGAAGGCTTGGTGAGCATGAGCACTCTTGACCTCGTAGTTCTGCCGGAAGCTGTGGATAGGGATTGACCAGTGGGTCTGCCTGCTGGGAGAGCGAGGGGCTGGGCCCCAGCCTTGGCTGTGTAGAGTGCTGCCCCGCCCTGCTTGGGTGATGCCCAGAGCAGGGGACCTCAGTCCTGGTTGCACCACCTGATCGCCAGGGCCTAGGGCAGCCAGCATTTCCAGCAAGCTCCTCAGAAGCCCAGCCTGGACTGCAAACCACCATTGTGGGAGAACGGAGGGGGGAACAGAGTCAGAGGAAGGGGCAAGGGAGATAGGAGCTATAGGTGAATGCACATTCGAGTCATGTAGACCCCTTCGTGGGGTCCTGGAGAGGGCTTGGTGCTCAGTTAACATCGGTCCCACAGGAAGTCAATGAAGGAAAGAGCTTTGGCCTGATGTGGTCCATGCGGTTAGTCACGGAGACTGTAAGAAGTGGAGTAGGTGAGTGTGATGGTTAATTTTTTGTGTTAATTTTTTATTGGGCCACAGTGCCCAGTTATCTGGCCAGATTTTATTCTGGATGTTTCTGTGAAGGTGTTTTTTGGATGACCTTAACATTTAAATTGGTTGACTTTGAGTAAAGCAGGTTATTTCCCCTAGTGTGGGTGGGCCTTATTTAATCAGCTGAAGGCCTTCATAGAACAAAGACTGACCTCTCTGAGTGGATTGCCTGAACCCACGGGTTCGAGACCCGCCTGGGCAGCGAGACCTCATCTCTACAATAAATCAAAAAATCAGCCGGGTGTGGTTAGCGCATGCCTATAATTCTGGCTACTTGGAAGGCTGAGGGGGAAGGATTGCCGGAGCCCAGCAGGTAAGGCTGTGGTGGCCGGGAGCGGCCACTGCACTCCAGTCTGGGCGACAGAGTGAGACTCCAACTCAAAAAAAAAAAAAAAAGACTGACCTCTCCTGAGTAACAAGGAAATCTGCCAGCAGGCTGCCTTCAGACTTTCCCTGGGTCTTTGGGCTGCTAGTCTACCCCCATAAGATGCTGGACTTACTGGGCCGCTACAATCACCTGAGCCAATTCCTTAAAATCAAGCCCCTCCCCCACTACACACACACACACACACACACACACACACACACACACACACACCCTGTTGGTTCTGTTTCTCTGGAAAGCCCTGATTTACACAGTGAGTTTGGAGGAAGAGGCCACTGGGGAGGGGGGTGGCGAGAGCCCCAGGGGTTGTTGAAAGGGGCTTTGGGAAGGTGAGGTGGTGGCTGAGGAAGAATGGGAGCCTGGCAGGGATGCGTCACAGAGAAGCAGGCTGCTAGCGGAGGCTCAGCAAGGCCACCATGGCCCGTGCAAGGCAGGGAAGAGCGGGAAAGTATGCTCACTGCAGGGTGTAAGCCGTCAGCTCTTGGGAAAATGGATTCTTCTCTGCTCTGCAAAGGATGGAGAGGCATGTGGGAGGCAGCCCAGGGGCAGGGGGCTGGCCCACCCTGGTCACGAAGTTCTGCGCTGCTCCACTCACCTCTGCCCCTGCCTCCGTCTCCAGCACAGCAGGCCCAGCACAGCACAGATGGGAAGGACACAGCCCGCCACGATCCCCACCACGACTGGCAGGGGCATGGCTTCTGAGGAGATGCTGGCCCAGGGCTCTGGGCAGGGCGAGGGAAGTATGGAACGCAGCAGCCTTGTCCCACTGACTCTGTAGGGCCACGCCACCCTCTCCTGGACTGGGGACCCGCTGGGTGGAGGGCACAGTGGCAAGCCCCTGCCCCACAAAGTCCCAGATGCCAAACTGAGGCTAGAGATGCCTGTCAGGGGGAACACTTGACTGGGAACCGAAAGCACCCAGCAAGCCCTTCCTGCTCCCAGCACCTGGGGGCGTCCCAAAGACCCAATCCCCTTTCTGACACACCAAAGAAAAGATCACGGGCTTCCTGGACATTCTGGAACTGCCCTGTCCTAGACAGTAGCCACTTGCCACATGTGGCTATTGAGCATGAAATGTGGATATTCCGACTGGGCGCAGTGGCCCACGCCTATAATCCCATCACTTTGGGAGACCGAGGTGAGAGGATTGCCTGTGCTCATGGGTTGGAGACCAGCCTGGGCAACTTGGAGAGACCTCATCTCTACAATAAATAAAAAGAAGTAACCGGGAATGGTGGCACATGCCTGTAGTTCCAGCTACTTGGAAGGCTGAGGCAGAAGGATCACCTGAGCCAAGCAGGTCAAGGTTGCAGTGGCCATGAGCATGCCACTGCCCTCCAGCCTAGGCAATAGAGTGAGACTCCAACTAAAAATAAAAATGT